ATACTTAATTAAGAATTTCAGATTTAACTATAAGAACCAACGACCCAAATAGGAGTATAGTAAGAAATTATCTTGAAAGACCAAACAACTAAAAGATATAGGACTTACCTTGCAAAATAATTCATTAAGGGCAATATAGTACTTCAACAAAAAGAATTTTATATTCTTAAAAATCTTTGCGAGTATATGTCAATCCTTATGTCAGAGATTTTCGGGCATTCTAGCACGGTCCTAATGACTTTTGGTATACACCAACAATTAACGGCGCCACGTAAGATTTTCCAATGGTGTTTCTTACGTAGTGACCATTAATTTAATTGACATTAACTTTAGTTACTATCACTGCAGAAGTGACGTTATTTAGCACCATACGTTGAAAACACCAATTTATGTGAAACTAAGTAATATTAAATTAGAGACAAAATTAAACGAATTGCATAATTCTACATTTAATTTAGCATCACATAATGCCATTATAGTATAGAAAACCTACAATTCAATGATTCTAGCCACTATCGTTCAATACTATTTAATACTTTATACTGAACATGAACGAACTGTCAAAGAGGCCATTTGCTTGATTTATACTGAACGTGAATGAACTGTCAAAGAGGCCTTGCTTATCAAGCAAAATGCCGACTACTATTGAAGATTTCTGCAAAGAAATATGTACCTGCACTGCAAGAGCATCTCAAATAGTATTTCAGTCTCGTAGCTATAAATTTTCACCACACCAAAGGGAAAAATTTGAGACAAATAAGAAAATTCAGATTCAAAAGATCTGGTTTCAAATGCTACACTCTTCTCATGTTAAGAGTGATCACCAAAATACCTGAAAGAGCAACTATAATGGGAAGATAAATAAATTGTTCTAGTTGTTCCTTCCGATAAAATTGTCATCATCTTTATCGCCATTAACATTTACAATTTTTATCATGACAACTACAAAGGTCTAGCAGCTAAGCCTTCAAAATCACACTCAGCGGTCCTGACATTTTCTTCAATTTCTTCCAGTCTAGACTGCAAAGAGGCAATTGCTCGACCCTTCAACTCTTTAGATGATTCAGCAAGTGATAGCTTCTTTTGTAACTCAATTATCTGCATGCTGCTCTTGCCAATCTCTTCATCTATCTTACTTTTCTCAAGATTCTGTTCGGTAATTCGACTGTTAAGTTCTTTTACCTGGCTTAGAAGCTTTTCATGTTTATCTTTCATGGCTATCAACTCAAGTACACGGTTCCGTACTACCCTAACATCAAATCCATATTTCTCCAGATCTGCAACCGTCTCTAAAATGTCAATCATAATGCTTTTAGGATCATTAAACAGCAACTTTGAAGCTTTCTCAACCACACTAGCGAAGGTTACCATATAACCTATAGCTAAGCCTTCACGCAAACTCTCTTTAAAATGTTCCAGAGGCTGGAAATGTGGTTTCTGTGGTGCCTTTCCAAAAATTTCCATGGATTCAATTGTTTTCCAAAGTATATTTTTCTTCACAAAAGGCAAGATTTGCTGCTCGCTCAGCATAATTGCACCATTATCCTCAAATCCAGAAGCCTGCATCCCATATTCTTTATGTGTCTCACATCGATTGGTAAGCTCAGAAGGTTTTTCTTGTTTCTCGCTGCTTACCATACATTGCTCCATAGTCCTCACAGGCAAAATTCCTGCAAAAAATCTGATACTATCAGGCAAATTACCAAAAAAATGGGGTGCACCAAGAAATGCAGTTCAGCTTACTTGAGGTATCAAAAGTAGATGGACTGTACATCTCTTCAATCAAGTTTGAAAGCGGTTCATTATCATCCTCAATATGGGGTGCTTCAGAAATTACTTTCTCTACTCCTTTCATTATGCAGTTTAATTCAGTGGTTTTCCCTCTGGATGAAGAATCTATAGAAGGCCAAAAAGTATATTATAACAAGTGAAAAAGGACATCGGGAAATTTCTGCCATTATTATTATTATTATTATTGGTCTAAAAATTGATAAAGAATATCTATATGCAATCAATAAAAAGGTCAGAATGATGGCTATCCTATCACCCACAAAACAGAACTATCATGAAAGAGCAATTGCTGACCTTGAAGTTCAGGCACAAGCTTTTCACCTGTGATCAGCATTTTTCTTCTCTTTGATGAATGCATCTCACGTGCATTTATTGAATCTTTAAAATTTTTATCAGAATATTTCACTAATGGAATGTTCATATCACCAACCCTATTTATTGGCTCAGGCTGACCCATTATTAGCTCCACGTAATCCTCATTGAGCACTATGCTCTCCTGATTAGGCAATGAAGCCTCAGTCCTTGTCACCACTACTTCAGTATTTCTATGTGAATCAAATGAATTTGGTATACCACCTCGTGTGATCATTCCATCAGAAGCAACATCTCCACTTTGCCCATTGCCTACAATTCAAAATTTATCCACTAGTAACATTGAGACTACAACCTTTCAGTTTTAACTATCAGGTAGGATATTAGGAAGAAAGAGGAAGCAACTGAAAAGGAATCCACTGCATACCAGTCACTGGAGTTTGGGAACCTTTGATAAACCTCTTTGGTGTCTTTCCTCTCTTTCTCTTCTGAATGGCCTCTCCTTTTGCTGATTGTTTAATCTCCTATAATTGCAAAACAGTTTTAGAATTAGTAGTAAAATATTTTATATTAAGACAAATAAGATAGAGAAGGATTGAATAAAAAGTAAGGAGTTTTTTCTCTTAAACATCTGATGGTGCTTTCTTGGTTTTTTCTTTTGCCCATAACTTTTCTTTCTACTATTTTATTTTATTTTATTTTTTGGTTGGGGGTGGATTATCTTAATCAGTGTTCTAAAAGACGGGACAAGGTGGGGGGCTTATGTTGCAGGGAAAAAGCTCCGCATATGGAGAAGGCGTGGAAAAAGGAAGTCAACTCTATTTTGACAGCCTAAAGAAACATAGGTTCCCAAAGGCGCGCACCTCTTTTTTTGGTCCAATTTTTTTAAGGTTATATAGACTAATTAAATGAAAGGAAGTTTTAATACTTGATAAACAGAAAACTCGACGTTCGAGGTTTTATATATAAATATTCCCAACTTGATCAAATTGGGATTCAATTCAAGAGCCAATTTCTTCTTCAAATGTACTGGCTATTGAAAAATTAGAAAGCAATGAAGTGTTGTACTGTGAAGTGAAAGAATCAGTGAAGAAAGAAGGCAATAGCAAAATTAGTGCTGGGTATTTCCTGGGTCCATTTTCCCTTATGACAGCTCCATATCTTCATTGTCCTGAACCCATGGTATTTGTGTTTCTATTTTACTGTGTCTTTCTTTCGTCATCATCTTCTTCTTCCCTTCCTGAAAATTTGGTTATCGTTGCCCATATGATGTAAAGATTAAATAAACAATTTTAATTGTGTATGATTTATATGTATAGTGTTTTAAAGTCTATTTTAGTTGTTTTTTAGTTTGATGTATTGTCTTCTAAGGATCTGATGAAGTGTGTGAAAGAGATTATTTATGCTTTATTCTCTGTTAATTGTTTGGTCATTCATTATTAGCATTTGTCATCCAAAGTAAAAATGAAATAACTAAACCCTAATATAAATAACTATTTATATTTGTTTCAATTTTCCACAAATCAATTGAACAAAATGATTCTTCCATGCATCTAATTCTAATGCTAGTCAACTAAAAAGCTTTGGGGAACATTTTGGATGGGAAACTACAATTCTTGTAGATCCTAAAAATAATGATAATCTGAAATGCATATTATGTTGTAAAGTTACTAAGGCACGAATCAATATGCACAAAATCCACATAGAAAGGATCAAGGGAAAGGGTGTGAAACCATGCCTTAGAGCAAGTGAAGAGCAAAAAGCTAAGCATCTTGAGGTGCTTGATGAAAATAACTCTTAAGAAGTTAGAGAAGCTATTGAATGATGCTAAGTTGAAAGGAGATTTAGTTCTGTCTACAATACAAAGAAGATGAAATCTCTATTATTGAAGGAGGAACGAAGAAAAGGCCTGCTAACGTGGGTTCCACTGATCAATTTGCAAGGCTAGTCAAGGACGATGTTGCTTCTATGAGTGCAAGAAAATGAAACAACAAAATGTCATTGACATAAATTCAGAGAAAACGTTATTAGAAGTTCTACAACATTTGCAAGATGAATATATGAAGCTGAAATTCCCTTTAATGCTATTGAAAAAGATAGCTTCCAAAGATCTGTTGAAGGTCTTGGTCAATATGGCTCGGAATACACTCCTCCATAATACTAACGAAGGGAGCCACTTCTGAAAGGAGATGTTGGGAGAACAAAAGAAATTGTTAAGAAGCAAGAAGACGGCTTGAAAAATAATGGGTTTTCTACCATGACTAATGCTTGGAGCGATAGAAAAAGAAGCATTATGAATTTGTATATGAATTGTAAATTGAACCACATTTCGTTCTCAAGGGAAGTTTTGGATGATGCTCTGGTCAATACATATGTAACTATGTAAATGAATGTATTAAATATGTTAAGGCTAAAAATGTGATATCAGTTGTAAACGACAATGCTTCCAATAATATGGTCGTTGAGAATTTGTTGATATTACGACCTTAAACCTAATGCTTGAAGAAATCTATAAAACTTCCTAGCTTCAATGGAGTGGTTTCACCAGATTGGAAACATCTTTTTTTACATAGCAAAGTTCGCTTGATAAGAAGCAAGAGTTGATAAATAAGACGACTAGCAACGAATGGGATAACAACTAAATGGTCTAAGCATAAAAAGGGATACAAGGTATTCCATATTGTTGTTCCCAATAATTCTTTTTTACTCAAGATCTATAGTTCAGAGTGTTCACCCCATCTGTAAAAATTGCTTAGACTCTTTTGTTTGGGCAACAGACTCGTATTGACACAACATAACATGGGTTCAGGTAAGGGATCCAGATCTGATCCTTTGATTTAGAAGCAAACACGACAAAGGGAGGTCACCATGGATGGAAGCAGAAGTTGCAGAAACAAGGGAAAGAAGAAGGAAGAGAAAGGTCATGAAAGGAAAACCTTCAATGGCATTTGTTTATGGAGAGAGCTACTAAAGGAAAAGGACGACATTCAAAAGGTAATAAAGCAATTTGACTATATGCCAATTTTACACATTGTTACTGGAAAAGACAAGAAGCCTTGATAGTCTACTTCATAAAACAGCTTGTTTATTTAGAGCTTGTTTGGAATGGATTTTAATCCAATTAAAATTGAAAATATAGCCGTTATTGGGTCCCACTTGTCTAATAAAAGTCAACCATAACGACTATATTTTCAATTTTAATCTCTCCCAAACAAGCTCTTAATCTGTTTAATTTCTTCAAAATCCACACGTCAATGATGTTCAACTGATAACAAATAATGTGATTATTTATATTAGAAAAAATCTACTCCAATATTCAAATGCAACATTATGTGATAAACTCTCAGTTGTAGAGATGCACTAAAAAAAGATACATTTGGAAGAAAAACTAGCAACAAATGGATTTGAGAACAATGATGTTGTCAACATTCTTCTCTTTTTCTTTCGTGCTAATATATTATATTATATTATGCTAATGGAAATATTATTAGAGTATGTGTTCATCGCTCTATTTTGGCCCTATCAATTATTGGTCTAAATTCAGCAAACTCATGTTAGGAATTTCTCGAAAATGTATCTACCCATGTTAGTGGATTGTCATGACAAAGGTAATGGCAGCTTAAGCGCAAAAGCCAAACCCAAAGATCTCCTTCATTCAACTTTTCATGTTTAGATCCTTATTTTAGAAAAAGTTATTAGGGCCTATTTACTAGATTTACTATGATTTTATTAGATGCTTCCTACTTAGAATAAGTTTATTTAATACATTTCCTAGGATTTTATTAGAAGTTTCATACTTAAAATATGTTCCTTGAAACCCAATATAAAGGGACTTATGCATTGTAATACTACTTTGATTATGAAATAAATTAACATTTGCTCCCCAAATTTCTTCTATATTCTCTCTCTCCCCTTTCTTTTATTTATCTCCCTTAATCTCTTCTTCTCTTTCCTTTTTCTTTTCTTAATCTTGTTCTTGTTCAATTGTAATCTATGTCAATCTGGTACCGAACAAGTCCTTTTCCTTTGACCAAATAAATTTTGTATTCAAATTCAAAATTTAGACACCCACATCCATAGCCACCTTCAACTACACAAAAATCTCCCAACCACAACAACTGAGAAGAAGAAAATCAGCCGACACAAGAAAGATTTATTTTTTGCTTTTTGTTAAAAAGAAATAAAAATATAATAATAATAATAATAATAATAATAATAATAATAATATTATCCTTTATTACATACATTGGAATTGTTCACCAGCAAAGCTTTATTTAATAATAAAAAAATAAAAAACGAAAAATGCATAATTGTTCCTTGCCATAGGTATTTGTTTTTAGGGTTTTGAAATACAAAATAAATAAATAAATACCGGTAGGTACTTTGTTAATGTTGCTCAATTACGATCAAGGAAGCCACACCTGTGCAATCCGATAAGGTCTCGCATGAAACATTGAATACTTGGACAATAATTCTGCTTACGGTTGGCTCCATATTAGTTGCTCGGATAAACCCAGGAGGTTCAAAAATGTACCGTGGCCTAAAAGCTGTATTTTATTGGAGGAATATGAAGCACATAGCTAAGTTTGTTGAGAAATATCTATTATGCCAACACGTTAAAGCCAAACATCAACGACCATCAAAGTTGCTACAATGATTAGAGATTCTAGAATGGACATGGGAACATTTAACTATGGATTTTGTCATTGGTTTTCTAAAATCAGTAAGAGGTTGTGAGGCTATTTAGGTAATCATCGATAGAATTACAAAATCAACTCATTTCTTGTTTATTCGGATGACATTTTATATGGACCAATTTACACAATTCTATGATAATGAAGTGGTGAGGTTGCACGGTATTCCAGTTTTAATTGTGTCAGATAGAGAACTAAGGTTCACATGGAACATTTGGAAAAGTCTGCATCCGAAAATGGGAACTAAGCTAAAATTGAGTACATATTTCCGCTCCCAAATAGATGAGCAATTCAAACACTAGAGGATATACTTCGAATCTGTGTCCTAGACTTTAGAGGGCATTGGGAAAAGCATTTACCATTAATTGAGTCCGCTTCCAACAATAGCTATCATGCATCTATTGATGTCACCTTATGAAACCCATATTGTAGAAAGTGCACACAACCCGTTCACTGGGATGAAGTTAGTGAGCGAAAAAGTTGGTGCAAATTACATAAAATTGTGAAAAAAAAAATATAAGTTACTGAAAAAATCCGAGCTAGTATGAAGACAGCCCAAGACAAACAAAAAGGTTATACAGACAGAAGATTAAAGGAGCTAGAATTGACTATTGATGATCAAGTATTTTTGAAAGTCACACCAATGAAAGGCGTCTTAAAGTTCAGCAAGAAATGAAAACTTTGGCAGAGGTACATCGGACCTTTCGAGATACTCAAATGGGTTGAGAATATAGCTTATCAATTGGCTTTGCCACCATAGCTTACTGCAGTACATGACGTCTTCCACGTATCGAAAAAATGAGGGAAACTTCGACCAAGATGCAGCGGAC